CAGTCAGCTAAAGCTCATTACGACTGAAAAATAGCAGTGGTGTATTTTCAGTGCCAGGAAAATAAATGTAAACCGATTTGTGCTTTATCTGGCCTCTGTTGGATACAGATGTTCAATAATAAATTGAGGTAAAAGTAATGCATCAGAATTAGTTTTGGAATTGACACTAACATTGTTATGATCGCTGTGCCGGCTTATTCACGAATAAAGTGGTTTTCAAAGATTCTGCAATGGTAATAATCTCCCCCAAGCCTTTTATTCTAATAAGGATAACAAAAAATAAAAGCTGTTTATACTCAGTCAGAGTTTTGAGGCGGTCCAAATTAAGTTGATCTATTTGATATTGGAAAATCAGCTGCCTCTTAAAGCTCCAGCAGGAAGCCTGTGTATCCACCTACACCAGTCTGGAAGTAGTGAGTCACAGAATGAGCTAGTGAAGCGGGATTGATTTACCATGCTGGAATGTATGACACACACACACACACACTCACACACACACACTTGTATTTTATATTTCCTATCTCCGAGCCTATAGGGAATCTTCCCTGAAAAGTCTTCAGACATGACTTGATGTTTTACAAGAACCCCCGTCTACTTGAGTCCTACAGTTTCTGCATATGGGGTGTTGGGGTTGTTTTCTTTGTTCATTATTCCCTTACTCTTGACTTTTTTGCATGGTTAAATTATTCTCATAGCTCTCTGTATGACTGTTCTGTCTTCAGTTATGTGTGTGCCTTTTCTGTTTGTGTGTAAGCACAGGATTTAAAAAATGCATTCGAGTTTGTTTAAATAGTCAGAGCTGTAGCATAACTTTCAGGTGCCCATTGCCTCAGGCTTTCCCTAAAGGATGCTTTGAATGGACTCAGTTCAGTGGCCAGTTTGCACCTCAGTCTGCTTGTCTCTACTGGGTTCTTACTAAAGTCTTTGCAAGATATATTGTCATTCTTTTGGGAAACTTTGAAGTTATCTCAGCTATTTTGTTCTTTAAAGTTTAGCACATAACAAGTAATACAGTAGCAAATAATTGTCAAATGACTTTATTAAATGTTCAGAAACATAAAATATCACAAAAAGATCATTTAAAGTTATCTTTTAACTTATATTCCTGTTATCATTGGACATAAACACCTAAAATGGTACTTAAAGAATCCAGCTCAATTGACGTTTCTGGTTCACCTAAAGCAGTTTAACATTAGTTAGGTTACTTAAATGAAACTGGTTTTATACCCCTAGAATAGTTACAGTTTTGTCTTATGTTGAGTAAAACATTTTTAACAGTAACTTTAGTCAGTCCTGTGGGCTGATTTTCATTTTATTTTATTGTTTCACAGAAATTAAATTAAGTATTTCTTGGATATGAACCTGATATTATGCATACATTTTAACACAGCTGAAAATATTTATTTTATCTTAATTGGACAATGCAAAGCTATTCTATTTTGGCAAATAATGCCACAAAGTGTGTTTTTCCCTCTGCGCTTACAAGAAACAAACAACATTTTAATTTTTGTCGCTGTGTACTTTGGAAAATAGGTAATAGAATTATAAGAAAATATCAATGGAGGAGTAACTGCCTTTCTTCCAAGGTAACCAACTCAGATTTGTCTGTAAAACTTCCATTTTGAGGTTTAACTAAGTTTCTCACTACATCACAAGAATAAAGGTTTTGCAGATTCTTCACTTTGTTGTCTGGACAGGGAGATAATAGCTGAATTCAGAGATGCCAGCTTGAAGCCTGTCAAAAAAAGAATGATACTATTCTTTTAGATGAACATGTACATGTAGTGTGTGTTCTAATGGTTGTAAGTAATCCATCTTCTTCAGGAGACAACCATTATTGGAAGAAAAAAAGTTGCATAGCTTTTTTTTTTTTTGCTTTTTTCCCTTCTTTGCTAACGGCTTTGTTGCTGAGCCCCTTTTCTCCAAGAAAAACACATTTTGTGCTTATTCCTCCTGTCAGCTTTATAGACTGCCTCATCAGTAGTTAGTCATGAAGCTTTTCTTCATAAACAAGCCAAAGGTTATCCTTATTGTCTCTGATAACAAAAAGCCTACATTTTAGTGCCTTTAAAAAAACCCATGGGAGTATGTCAAAAGAATTCAGCTGAAAAATGTCGTCCAGTTATTCAAAAAAAAAAAAATATCATGTATGACACTAAAAATAAGTATACAGTATATATTTTACATAGTGTTCTGTATATCATGGGCTAATCAATAAAGAGAAGACTGCTGACTCTAGCCTTGTCAAGCAGACAGTCACTTGTGCCTTCCTCAAGGGAGGAAAGCCATAAAAGGTTGCTGCTTAAAAAGCTTGCTGTTCAGTGGTAGTGAATCAGCTGGTGCACTTAGAACCATCTGAAGCTGAAGTGGAACACTTTAAAGACTTTTTTCACATGCTGTGGTTTATTTTTTCAATCTTTTAATTAAGAGGCGAACGATAGGAAACTATTTTTTTTTGCCGCAAACATTTGGCCATAAGGGTTGATTGTGACTCAGATATGTAAGCATATCATGGAATACTGTGTGAAAGAAAAAAAATAGAGTATAACAAGAGGCATGGATGTGAAGCACATCATATAAAACTAAGCTGATAGCAACAAGGGCACAACAGTCATTCAAGAACCACACATAGACACACAGTATCAAGGATACTGGCTATTGCATGCCTTGTGTTAAGCCACTCCTGGACTGGAGACAATAACAGGCTTTGACCTTGGCTAAGGAGAAAAAGAAATTGGCTCTTGCTCAGCTTTTCATAGTCCTCTTTTCATATAAAAGTATATATTGTATTTAATTTGGAAATCAAGGTCTTAGAGTTTAGAAAAAGAGTAAAAAGGGATGAAGACCCAGCCGGTTTGGTCTTTCAGTCTAACAAGATGTTTCCACAGTCAGCAATGATTTGGAGAGCCATTCAGTCTCCATGCTACTGGTCCGCTGTGTCAATTCCATGGTCAGCACTGTGGTCTAACTAATTTTAAGTGTCAGATAAATTTTAGTGCCCTCTTTGGTTCTCCCTGATTACATGCTTTACAGAGATGCTGATCTCATTTTCTAGCAGGATATCAGCAGGTGTGGTGAAAAATGAATTTGGGTTTTCATTAATAGTTAAAGAAAATAATTGAGTTGAAGAGAAATTAAACCTTCAAATGTATCACTGTGGATCTATTAACATATTTATATGCAACTGTAAAACATACTTTTCCTTGAACAAAATGCCCTCCTGTAGATATGCATATATTCATTGTTCTGCAGTCTTGCTCTGTTTACATTGGCCTTGATAGTTGTTAAAAATAAAATGTTCTGTCCTTTAAAATCTCAGGTGTATCTTTAGTTTTACTGTGAAAACTTTAGCTGTCATGGACAATCAAATGAAACATACTGAAACAGTTTGAGTATTACAAATTACTAGGATGTTAGAGTAATCATTAAAGTGCAGTAAACTTCCTCAGACTGAAAAAATACTTGTGCATTTTTATAGCAGGCACCCTCCCCAAGTTGTTGCAGATGCATTTTTTTTCTTACCTGATTTACCTGAAATAAAGGCTACACCTCAGCACAGAGCTGATATTACTGCTGAAAAGGCACCAGATAAAGTTTTTATTTGAAAAAGAAGATCTCCCTTCAGCTATAATCCCTTGCATTCATGACAACTATTTTCCTGACTTACAGTCTAATTAAAACGTAAGCATTTGTGACAAATAATGCCCCTAAGTCTGGGCGGATGTTTATGGTCGGAGCGGTTATGTTAGCTTGTAAAGTAAAAAAGAAGCATTTTGTTTTAGCTTTATGATTTGGAATTAATATCTTTTAATGCAGATGCAGTTTAAAATGAATTATGGGAGATGAAGTAGAAGGCCTTAAGTAAAGTGTTGCATTATGAGAAGTTGAAGCAAGCAGTTTTTCTACAGCAGTTATTTCAGGCTGGCAAATTCCTAACAACTTTAGTAATGCCTTTTGTTTTTTATGCCACAAAGCCGAAAAAACACTTCAGCTTTGACAGAAATGTTTTGACACTGAGAACTTTGCAATTATGATGTCTTCACTCAGCATTCTTGTAACTTTTAGGCTAAAACTATGTTTGGACTAGGTTTTTTTGAGAAAAACTGTTTAGCTGATATACAGTATATGTAGAAAATCTTTTGTTTTAAGAAAATAAGCTAAACAAGACATAAGTTTTGTTTTTTTGGTAAATGATCTGGTTTTCTGTCTTTCTTTGTTATAAATTGCAAAAGGAATGTGCTAATTGCCTCTGTGTATTACCTGAGTGCCTTACACCATTTTTACCTGAAGTTGTAAAAATCTTTTCACAGATGCTAAAAAGTCAGTGTTCTCCTGCGCAGTATGTTCCTTAGTGGATTAACTTTAACAAATTACATTATGTTTTTGCAGCAGACATGATTCACATTTAGTACAGCTGGAAACAAGAGTCAAGATTAGGTATGAAAACAATGCCAACCGTGCTCTTTTTTTTTTTTTTTTGAAGATTTTTGAATCATTTATTCCTAACTTCAATGGTCTAACCTTTAAGCTGTTTGAAGTTATAAAAACTAAGAAAAAGACAAAGCTGGCCAGTCGTAACTGGAGTTCCTTTTTTTAATAGTTATAATTTTATGTTGGCAGGTTATAATACTGTAACATAGTGATGGTATTTTCCTGTATACAAATCCTGATTTTAATTTTTTTTACAAATCCCCCACTCTTGCTTTAAAATTGGGACCAAAAAATTATATTCTAAGTTGTTTGATGCTCTTGTGCTGTTAAAGGGGGAAAAAAGGGGGAAAAAAAGGTTTGAATCAAATCAAACATTTTCATTTATTTGTAAATGCTCAAGGGAGGACAGTAAAGATTTGCGATTATATTAAATATATTGCAGTAAAGCTAATAAACTCTTTGACTTTACATCTGCAGTCTTGTGATATGTTTGGAAATCTAAATGCATTCTGCTCACACTTGAAGCCTGTTTTGAAAGCTTCATCTGTCTTCTCTCTTTTCTTTCCCAGAATGCTCCGGACCACTGGGCATGGAGGGTGGTATAATCTCCAACCAACAGATAACAGCCTCCTCCACCCACCGTGCTCTCTTTGGCTTGCAGAAATGGTACCCATACTTTGCACGCCTCAACAAGAAGGGTCTGGTCAACGCCTGGACGGCTGCCGAGAATGACAGATGGCCATGGATCCAGGTAAAGCACAGTGACAAGATGGAGAGAACACAAAGCCATCTCCGGTTTAGAGAAAACTAAATTAGGGCACAGGTGCAGTCCTAACTGGAGACAGACCCCTTGTTGATTTTGTCATTAAACAGTAAAGTTTTACTTGTTACACTTGTTTTTTGGCTTGTATGTTTAATGTATAATGTTGATTGTGGTGTTTATCTTATTGATTGATATTATTATCCCCCTTTTGACTGATTGGCAACAACAAATAGTTGTTGCCACGCTTTTTAGTAAAGAAATATCTATAAATGTTTAAACTTGGGAGAACAAATGAAGATATCAATTGTTAAAAAAATTTGAAATGTCTCAATTAGTTTATGTAATTTACCGATTCATGGTTATTATGATACTCCTACAGATCATAGCTGTTTTTTAGTTCAAATTTTCATTGCGGCGACCCTTAGTCTCTAAAGAGAATTCCTTTTTTCGTAAATATAATTGGACAACAGACAGTAAAGGTCAATTTATGCTGCTAATGCATAGCCTCTGCAACCGTCAAATCTGTCTCTGTGCACGACCACGCCCCCCGCGCAGAGGTTCTGCAACTGTCGTCGGCCACAAAAAAATCCTGACTATGCGTCAGATGGTCACAAAAAGCATACCAGCAAAACTGGTTCATCACCAGACCTAATCGACATTTGATGTGTGCGTTTGCAGAAGTATAATCTGCCCTTAAGAATGCTCAATTACCCTTCCAACAGTTACTGACTGCATCCCATACTCACATCTTTACAACTGCTTCCCCAGTTCTAAAAAAAAAATTAAAATTGGAATTAGCATCTGATCAGGAAATTTTTTTTTTATGATTTTCTAATAAAAAATATTTCCAAATTGTTAAATCACCATAAAACAGTAATTCATTCCACACACAGGATAGACTATAAGTTAAAACACTGGCCACATAAAGATTAAACTGTAACCATCAAATTTGATAGATTTAGCTTAAACTAGAGTTTTAAAGAGATTTTTTATTTGTTTTTTATGGTGGTTTCAGCAATGTTTTTTTGACCATGTGTTCACAATTATTAAGTTGATCCCTTTTGTGGAAGTTAAAAATGTTTTACCACTTGACAGCTAATAGATTGTGAAACAATCTAGCCAAGACTCTAAATATGCCTGTGTCCAACTAGATAACTGATGCTTCATTTACTGATAACGACCTATAAAGGACATTTTGATAGAACATAGTGTCTGCATTTCTATAACTGTTTTCAACAGCTCTAGCATTGTTTAGCTCCTTGTAAAATCTCTCTGCGCTTACAGAGATCTATCTATCTGTCTGTCTGTCTGTCTGTCTGTCTGTCTGTCTGTCTGTCTGTCTGTCTGTCTGTCTGTCTGTCTGTCTTTCAAATGTTGGTCAAAAACATTTGATTCTCACTTGATCACATTGGCTGTTGGAAATACATTTGATGTTTGATTTAAGTTCTTAGAGACAATTTTTTTATGTTAAACTAAGCTGTGGGCCTTTTGCCCTACAGAGTGTTTGAGTAACCTCCTACAGGGTTTTAGGCCATAACATGCATACAAATGGTAAAATTGTGAATAAAGAACTGAAACTTTAAACCCTTTTTCCAAGGCTTTATTGAAGTTATCATTCATGCAGTGCACCTCTTATTGTTCATGCACAAAATAGTTAAAATACAAATACATTTGGGATTTGCAAAATGCGTTGTGCAAATCCCACTTTCTTATGTCTTTTACTATCTCTTACCCAAGGATAGTTTGCATTCAAGAAACTTATTTAAGCGAAACTCATTATACCTCGGGGTTCATGTCAACATAAGAAACTAATTTATATCTTATTTATATGTAATATTTTAATAAGAATAGAGTACAGGCAGAAGGGGGGAAATGTTTAGCCTTCAGTAAACTGGGGTTGCAGAAATTAGTTTTGATTTAAGAAGCTGTCTACCATAGACTTTGCATGTAAATCAGATGATCTGGCACCCAGAATGCTTTTGGTGGGAATGCACAATTAGAACTTCCCTCTAACAGCTTTTTTCTAACATCACTTATAGCATGAATACGTGTTCTGTATTAAACTCCCCAATGTTGCATTTTATTCAGTGTACTTCGTTTACTCAATTTAATCCATCTTAAAACCTATTGTCTTTGTCAATTTTTCTCCATATTAGGTGAAACACAATTATCTTGTGTGGGAATACATGTACCATTGTTGGTGCAAAACTAGTTTACTGTAATGGCTTTTTAAGATTTTAATATATTTTCTTAATAATGAGAAGAAACTTTGTACATAAAGGGAAACAAATGAACAAATACTGTGTTATTTATAATTTCCTCTTAGGTGCCACAACACAGGTTTTTGTATTCTGGGCCCCCAAATGGGTTATCAATAAACTCTGCTCCAGTTCTTTTGAGTTTCTTTCAGAGCCAGGTAAACATCACAATTGTGTTTGTTTATTTCCTCTGCTTTTCTTCCCTAATCTGAAACACTTACACTGACATGAAGGTACATAAACTGTTATGGGTCAAAGCAATGGGTTTCTTTTAATGGATTTTTTAAATCTACAAATAGGTTAAAAGCTGTAAACTGTAAAGAGGCGAGTCCAAGGATATATGCCATTATAATTTCCCAGTATGCATTGCATGCTGGGTAAAAGCCCAAGTATGCTGAGGGGTAAAATGTAAACACGATTGTACCTGCTATCTTATTTAAAAACTAGTGGTGTGCGAATTGATTAGCCACATATCATCATTGGCATTGAAAAAAGTATCTCATCAATGAATGTTGGTTATTGTCTTACAATGCTGTTCACAAAAAATCACCTGTATTTTTTACTTTATAACCTGCAGGCCCGGTATGCATTATATCCACTATGCAAACACGCTGGAGCAAATCCTAAGGACTTTTGTGCTTTGTGAGTAATGTAAAGTTAGCATCTTGCAAAGGAAAGTACCTTGAGAGTGAAGCAGATCAAAATGCCTGAACACAACAAATTTACTATGACATTTAAAAACAAGCACTTTATGGACTTTGTTGAGTCATCAAGGCTCACTGCAGGAAAGGGAAAAAAAAAAAGACAAACAGATCAGACAGCAGGTAAAACAGCACAGAATGTCCTGCGCCTGCCTCGATGTGTGTGATATTTAGTAAAAAAAACAAAAAAAAAAACAAAAAAACAATTTAATTCAACACGTAGATGACCAATGGTGGAATACCTAGGGTTTAACAATCTGCTCTCACTGTTGGCACACCCTACGAACTCATAACTATTTTGCAGATGTAATGCCGTTTGATCTCTATCAAACAGTTTACTCTAAGAGCGAATGTCTTCCTAAATTTCAATGCAATGTAATAGTTTTCCTAAAAAAAACACTTATTTTTTAAAAAGCTACCCATGCATAAAATAAAGGGCAGTTTTTAAATTAGTTGTTATAGGTCTTTATAGTTGTAAAAAGGAAATATCTTCTTTAAGGATCTGTTTTGCCGGTGATCTTTAAGGTATTGAGCTTATTGGGTTTCTCTCCTCCCAATATGCAGATGTGGCAGAGGGAGATATTACTTGAAAACGGGCCAAGTTTAAACGTTTACCATTTTAAAACCTCTTAAAGTGTCGTTTAGAGCACTGAGTTGTTAGCTTAAATCTTCAACTTGTACATTTTGTAATAAAATGAAAATATATGTACTTTCTCAGAATTTCATGTTTTTCTGTGTTTTCTGCTCCACCAAATGGTTCCCACTTTTCTCAAATTGTGTCATATACAATTTATTCAATAATGGAAAAAAAGACAAAATATACAGTACTAGATCACGGCCTTTACAGTAATTAGTAATTGGTAACACTATGCACTAGCCTTCTTTCATAAATGTAAAAAGGCCATTTATTAATGATTAAGATATAGTTTATTAATGTTTGATAATCATTTATAAACTGCATCTAAAATAATTATAAAAGGTAAATAGATCATATTGCCCTTCCAAGTTAGTAAATCCTAACATCAGTGGGTTTCTTTCCTAACACTAATCTGAATAATTTAAATTCTCCTGCCATTTTAGTTTAGACCTAGACCTAACATCAGGGGACCTAGAACTGAACCTAGCCTTTTTTTTTATTTTATTTATTTAACTTGCCCTGTCATGCTGGACTTACCCTTACCATAATATCAATGGGGTTAATACCTTAATAAATGATCTATTTACCTTTTGAAAATAGTAAAAACATTAATAAATAAATTAGGAATTGATAAATGGTGTCTTTACCATTTATAAATGATGGTTTTGGTGCTTGTTTTTTTAAGTGTAACCATTTTATTTCTTTTCCATAACTTACATTAGTTGGATTTACCTTGGCCACCTGACATTCATTGGATATTTAATAAGGTTCTCTCACTTCTGGTTTATCACCCCTTTTTTCACTCTTGCATGATCAACTGATATATTTTGAGCTTCTGTTGGATATTTCTCATCCAAAAGATAGCTCAGTCCGCCATAAAGGGGAATACAAATTCAAAAAGAATTAGAATTTAGTTTTAGTACCCTATTAGTTTGTTGTTTTATTTTAGGCTGGTATAAAATAACTTAATCTTGCATGACTGTTGCAATGAAAGCAAGCTTTAAAGCATGAATATTTTGTTTTACAGAGAAGTAATAGGCAGAGAGTGAAACAAGAAGGCAAAGAAGACTAGAAAAATATTGCAAAGCATCAGGATAGCATGGAAAGAAAGTCTTCACATAGTAACAGAAAATAAAGGAAAGGAGGCTTGAGAATATGGTACTCAGGTGTGAAAAAATGGGTATAAAATATTCACAAGGTGCATTTGACTTTAATAATGCCACGTGGGATGATGCGCATGATGCTACAGGCATTGTGGGTTCTATACAAAGGGCTTGTGTAATTGGGGCACGAGTGTGGAGGTTTACAGGCATGACAATGCTTTGGGATTAAGCTAAGCAGTCGAGTGGTGTTCCTTTTTGAGGTGAGCTGATGTGGTGTGTCTGTTTGCAT